GTTAGAAATGATATGGGAGTTCAAATTGATTTGGGGGTTCAAACTGAGTTAGGAGTTAGTAATAATTTGGGAACTAACTTGGATTTTGGAGAGGAAACTGATAGTGATCCTACCTATGATGCAAACATAGATAGTGACACTAATGATGATTGCATGTCTGACTTTGAATACTTTGCTGAAGGTGACACCTTGAGTGACAGTGAGTATCCTTTAGAAAATGATATAGCTGGAACTCATAGAGTAATTGATGGAGTCTCAAACAATGAGCGTGCATTTAATACTAGTGAAAAAAAAATTCAGAATGATCCAGAATTTTTGTCAGAACCTAGTGACTCTGATGATGAGTATATGAGAGAGAAATTTCCAGAGTTTAATGAAGGGTCTGATCTAATTGATCCAAAGCTTGAAGTAGGTCTTGTTTTTGCCAACTCTGCAGTTTATAGAAAGGCTTTGAGGCAGTTTTCAGTTAAGAATGGATTTGAACTCACATTTGAAAAAAATGAGAGAACAAGAGTGACAGCATGTTGTAAAAATAAATGTGGGTGGAGGGAGGATACACGCAAGTTTGATGGGTAAATCATCTACATATCAAATCAAGACTATCAAAGGTGAGCCTCACATGTGTCCTAGATCCTTTCAGAACTACAATGCTAATTCCACTTACCTTGCAAATCGGTATTTGGAGAAATTTATTAAAGATCCCACTTTTCTATCAAGGCATTCAAGAATTTGGTTAGGAAAGAGGTCATGATTTATGCACATAGGAAAAAACTGTACAGGGCCAAAAGAAAAGCAATTGAAAATTTTCAGGGCAATGTATATGAACAATATTCCAGAGTACGCCAGTATTGCCTTTTGAAAACAAATCCTGGTTTAACTGCAATTGTTCAGGTTCAAGGGCCTCCTTTGTACAGAGAACTTAGATTTCAAAGAATGTTTGTAATGTATAATGCACTTAAGAAGGGTTGGAGCTGGTTCTTAAATCTAATGATTCATTCTTGGTAGTTTTGATGTAACTAGATGCACATTTATTTCTGATAGGCAGAAGGGTTTAGTTGAAAGTTTCCATTCAATCATGCCACATACTGAACACAGATTTTGTGTGAGGCATTTGTATGCAAATTTTAAACTGAGATTCAAAGATAAAGCTTAAAGATATAATGTGGAGTGCAGCTTGTTCTTATTATGAGGAAAACTTTACCAAACACATGAATGAGTTAAAGGATTTATCAAATGAGGCATATGAATGGTTGATGAACATCCCTACCCCTCAATGGTGCAAGTTTGCTATGTCACCAAGGCATAAGTGTGACATGTTAAGCAACAATCTTTGTGAATCATTTAACAACGACATCAAATAAGCAAGAGAGATGCCTATTGTTACAATGATGGAAGCTTTAAGAAGACAGTTGATGTGTAGAATTCAAATCAAGAGGCAGTGGATAGAGAAGTTCAATGGTAAAATATGTCCTCGGATACGAGATAAACTGAACAACACAAAAGTGAAGGCACTTGACTTTGAATGCTTTATGGATGCGGAGGGTTTGTGGGAAGTTACTAAAGGATCAAAAGCTTGATCTGTTGATTTAAAAAAAACAGAAATGTAGCTGTAAAGAATGGGATATGACCGGGATCCCATGTGGACATGCATGTTGTGCTATTCTGAATGAACACAAAGAGTCAGAGGACTTTGTGAGATTCTATTACTCTGTTGAATACTATAAAAAGCTTACAATCACATAATGAATCATGTGACATACCACGAATAGTGGTCAGCCTTACCTAACCAAGATCAAGCACTTCCAATTCTGCCTCCTACTTTCAAACAGCAAACAGGTAGGCCCAAAAAACTGAGAAAGAAAGAGTTGGATGAGATCAATATTGATGGCAAAGTAACAAGAAGAGGTGTTGTACAAGCTTGTTCAAATTGTGGTGACATTACTCATAACATACGAAGATGCAAAAAGCCCCCTCCAGAACAACCAAGAAAGAAACAAATAAAAAAATCAAAGGTGATGTGCTAGGTAGTATATACTTATTAATTTACTATGGTATTTCGATTGATGAGTGTCTTAACTTATATATTTTTTTTGTAGGGAACATCTGTGCAAAATAATGGAACAACCACTGGTGCAACGACTTCACATTCTGCAACTACACAACCTGGCCAAAGCCAAAGTAACAGGCCTGCAATGCAACTTGGACAAAATAGTAGTAGGCCTTCTATATCCACACAACCTGTTAGGGGTAAAAAGGCACATGTAGAAGAGGCAATGCAAATGGTCCACAAGGGGGAGTTGGAAATTTGAATGGAAACGGAATGTTTAATCAATTCAGACATCCAATACAAAGTGGAGAAAATAATAGGTCACTGGTTCAGGTCAATAACTTTTCAGATGGTGGAGATATACAGGTAATGAATATATTCAACTATTATTCTTTTTTTTTCTCTGCATATGTTTATTGTTTATGTATATGTTTACTGTTTACTGAATTAATGTTGGACATTTTTCTCAGATAATGTGCATTCATATAGATGCAAGTGCACAACACAAGGTTTGGAAGTGTATTGTTATCCAGCAGGTCAAGTTCAAAAATATCAAATTCAAACAGATTTGCTGTCATCATTGATATTGGGGAATCCTAAAAAGCTTGGTATTTTGTGTCATTTCCAAACTGTTTCTTTGGTACTTAATGCATCGTGGTAGTTGTAAAACATTTTGATGTATTTTGGTGATTAATAAATCTTTGATGTATTTTGGAAGTGTTCATTAATGTATTTTGGTGACTGAAGTATTTTGACTTGTATTTTGAGGATGTGAACTTAATTGGTGGCTATGTACTTATGCTTGAGAAAATTGCAACTTCATTGAAATAGTTTAGTGTAGGTACAGAGAACCCTTTTTTTGATTTTCAGAGTTTTTCGTAACCCATTTACATAGGACTATGAAGCATATAAATATTACAAACATCTTGACAATTCTAAATATTTTATTGTACATGGACACTTCAAATTCTAGAGTATGAATTTTGCTCATCATTTCCTTGTTTGTTCTTGTCATATTAAGAGCAATTTCATGAACTTCCTCATTGTTCAACTTTAATTTTTCATTCTCTACCTCTAGTATCTTGATCTTTTCATTCTTTTGATCCAAGAATCTATGAAATCCTTGCCCAATCTCTAGTCCCTTTAGACAAATTGGAGGCTCAATCCACTCAAAAAATTTGCAACCATCTGGCTTCTGTCGAGAAATGTGTATTAGATTGTACACAGATAGATATGTGATTTTTCAATGAAAATGTAAATGAATGTGCTATGAAAAATAACTTACATCCCAATTTAGACAGCCTGCAAATCTTCTACCTGGGTTGTTGATTGTCTAAGTTGTTAGAATTACTGCATTTTTTTGGCATTTACATGTTGTTCCTAAAAAAACGAGACAAATAATGCATAGACTTGTAACATGAAATACAAAAAAAATCGGTATTTGAGCTGCTACCTGACATTTTAATAATATTTTTAAGAAAAAAACAATGGTTTTTCAATGGTTAAATAAGGAGGCAAAAAATGAGAAAAAAAATTGAGAAAAAAAAAACCCCAAAAAAGATGGAGCTAAATAAAAGACTTGCCAAAAAATGCAGCAATTTAGCAAAAAAAAAGGAAAAAATTAGCTTTGAAAAGGACTTCAACACACACACATATATATATATACTTGAATGAAGGGGTTAAATCGTTAGAAAATATCCAACGAGTACAAAAAACGGCTATAAGCAATAAAGTCGAAGTGCCACGCCAGTTTTCACAAACAGAAGTTAAACGGAGGGGGGTAATTGGGACGTTTTATAGTACAACTGATAAGCTCTTACGTATTTTAAACAACTGATAAGCTCTTACGTATGATAAGATGTTTTAAGAGCTGATAAGCTGTTACATCTTATTTTTAGGCTTAATTTTTAGAGTGTTTGGATAATAAGCTTATTTCCTAGTTTTACTCATTATAAGATCTTAAATAAAAAGGTGAGGTAGAGGTACTTATTTAAAAAGATCTTAATTGCTCTCCAACAGCTTATTTTAAAAAAAAATTAAGATCTTTTTTTAAAAAATTACCAAACACTTTGGAAGATCTTATAAGCTCCAAAACATCTTATAAGCTCCTTTTAACATCTTATAAGCTTAGCCAAACCCCCTCTTAGAGGGCGTTTGGCTAAGCTTATTTTAAACAGCTGATAAGCTCTTACGTCTGATAAGATGTTTTTAGAGCTGATAAGCTATTACATCTTATTTTTATGATTAATTTTTAGAATGTTTGGATAATGAGCTTATTTCCTATTTTTACTCATTATAAGATCTTAAATAAAAAGGTGGGGTAGAGGTACTTATTTTAAAAGATCTTATTTGGTCTCCAACAGCTTATTATAAAAAAAATTAAGATATTTTTTAAAAAATTTACCAAACACTTTGGAAGAGCTTATAAGCTCTAAAACATCTTATAAGTTCCTTTTAACATCTTATAAGCTTAGCCAAACACCCTCTTAATCTCGCAAGCAAACGAACTAAGTATTAGCTCCTTCTTCCAAAAACCAAAAAGAAAAAGAAAAAAAAATATTATTGAGAGAGGGGTACCTGTGTTAGTTGAGTTGAGAAAGGCCTTGAAATTGAAAGCCAATTTGTATACCTAACCATTGAATTGCATTTGCTGTAGTTTTATGAGATTATAGACATGGCTTGTAGCCGCTTGACCCGGCCTAAATCTTGTCTTTCAATTCAAGCATCAAAACCCCTTTCTGCAATCCGAAGAAAAAACCCATCAATAATCCACTCTTCTAAACCCAAATCCACAAACTCCGGACTCAAACACAAAGATTATGCCGATTGGTATGGTTGATTGAAATGGTCCCGCGCTTTTCTTAGACTTCACTTTGCAAAAAAAACATTCCAGACAAGAGAGAGAGAGAGAGAGAGAGAGAGAGAGAGAGAGAGAGAGAGAGAGAGAGAGACGCGTTTATATTATTATTATTATTACTATATATAATGAGCTCGTTCTTGAAATGTTTCTTCACAAGCCCAATCTCAAAGCAAACCCCATCACACTCACAGGTTCTGCCGTTTCGTTTCTTGATTTACTGATTTTTTATTTTATATTTTGTTGAAATTGTGGCAAACCCATTTAGGATTTTTGTCTGATTTAGTACGGTGTTTCATGGATTTTTTCGATGTTGGGGGGTTTTAGGGATCAAGAGGCATTATGGAGAAGACATCCTCTAGCAATGTCAATGGCAACTTTTTGTCTGAGGTAATCTTCTCGAACACCGAATTATTCACTTAGTTAGTTTTATGCATTGATATTAGTTTTGTCGAATTCTTGTTTTTTTTTTGGGACCTTTTCGTATTGAATAGACCATATCCATTTTGTTGTGTTCTGTTATGCTTTGTCTGTTTTAATAAAGGTGTCCCGGCATTTTCGTATGTTTTTTTTTTCATTTCGCAATGAGAAAAAAATAATACTAGATGTTTTATATGATGTGATTGTTTCAATGATTTTTAGTTGTTCGATTTGTTGCGTCCGCTATTATGAATCGTCCAATGCCGCCTAGATTATCTTTACATTTTCGACTGTGTATACAGTTAAACCTCTATAAATTAATACAGTCGGGACTAGCAAACTTCTATTAATTTAGCGAAATATTAAATATTAAATTATCAAACTAATAATTTAGTAGGTTTTTACCGAGTCGGGACCAGAAAAAGCTATTATTTAAACGAGGTTATCAATTTATCGAGGTTCTACTGTATTTAGTATGCTAAATACGTTGCTGCTTATATTCACTCGATTTTCTATGTTTTTTTTTCTTTCTGGCAGAAATCCAATGAAGAGTTGAAGGATTCCATGAGCAGACCGGTTACTAATATAATCCTTAACCATGATTTTTCTAATGGACTTCAATCGTGGAATCCTAACAACTGTGACGGCTTTGTTGTTTCCTCAGAGGGTAATTCTAATTACCCTCTACCGGCAAAATTAAGCGGACCCCGCTTTGCCGTAATTACAAACAGAAAAGAATCTTGGCAAGGCCTCGAACAAGACATAACCCACAGAGTCTCCGTAGCATCCACTTATAGCGTTTGTGCTCTCGTTGCAATATCTGCTGCTCCTCAAAGTGGATCTCATGTGCAGTTAACTCTTAAAGTCGAAAACCAAGATTCATCGGTTAGCTATATTTTCATCGGAAAGTAAGTTTTTTTCCCTCCCACTTTTTTTTTTCCTCTTCTTGTATGAGGTGGCACATTCTGATTCGACGGGACCTGTGCAGAACTTCTGCTTCGACGGAGCATTGGGGGAAGATAGAAGGTACATTTTCTCTATCCGCTACGCCAAAACGAGCGACGTTTTATCTTGAAGGGCCTTCGCCTGGTGTTGACCTACTCATACGATCGGTAGTAGTTTCTTGCCCCGGTTCCACTAAATTTGATGTAAGTCGTCTTTTTTTTTTTAATCTAGAAACTGATTTATATACTTTTTTTTTTCTTGTAAAAAATTAATTTATAACAAGTTATATCTCTTCTTGCATGTGAATAGAGTCCAAATACAAGGTCTTTGTGCGACGAAGACGGGAACGAGAACATCATACAGAACTCGAGATTTGACGATGGGCTTAATAATTGGTCTGGTAGAGGATGCAAGATTGTATTAAATAATTCTATGTCGGATGGAAAAATTCTTCCAATTTCTGGAAAGTTCTTTGCTTCGACAGCCAATCGCACACAAAATTGGAACGGGATTCAACAGGAGATAACGGGGAGAGTGCAGAGGAAGCTGGCCTACGAAGTTGTTGCCACAGTTAGAATATTCGGCAATAATGTAACTAGTGCTAATGTTAGGATAACTCTGTGGGTCCAGTCAGCAGATCTCCGTGAACAATACATCGGCATCGCCAGGTATTAATTCGACCATTAATATATAACTCATTAGAGATGTTTTGATTTTTTATGTAATGGAAACGAGTGATGTGAATTGATGTATGATCTTTTTAAGAAGTTCGTCGGGTATGCGTGTATGTAGTGTGCAGGCAACTGACAAAGATTGGGTGCAATTGCAAGGGAAATTTCTTATAAATGGTTCTCCCTCGAGAATTATTATTTATTTCGAGGGCCCACCTCCGGGCACTGATATTCTTCTCGATAACCTAGTTGTAAAGCACGCCGCCAAAGCCCCGCCGCCACGTCCACCAGCCATTGAGGTACATCTTTTGAAACGAATGTTAACATTGGAAAAGACGGATGAAATCAGGAGTGGAAATTGGAATGGAATTTCCGAAATCTGCTGATTCCGATCCGAAAATTTCCGATTTTGAAACAATTTTTTTCATTCTGAATTTCGAATGTTCCAATCTCCGATTTCTGATTTTTTCTGGAATGGATTTGGAATACATATTCAATTTGGATTTCTAATCCTACTTTATATCCAAAAATATTTGAGAAAAATTCCGATTATTTTCCGAAAAATTACACTTATAGTATCAATATTATTCTATATTTTATGTTATTGATTACTAAAAAATGGAATTTATGAATTCTGCCTATTCCGATCCGAAAATTTCCGATTTTGGAACAAGTTTTTTATTCTGATTTGATTTTTCCATTTTTTTTTTGGTACGGAATTGGAATTTGCTTTTCAATTGAAAAAAAAGGGTTTTTTTTTTTTTTTACCGAAAATCCAAATTCCAATCTGATTTCACCCCTACATAAAATTAAGTACTCTCACCTTTTTCTTTTTTGTTGTTTTTTTATTAAATAGAATGCTGCTTATGGGGTTAATATTATCGCTAATAGCAACCTTAACGACGGCACCGAAGGGTGGTTCACTCTTGGAAATTGCACTTTAAGTGTCGGCCACGGCTCGCCACATATCCTCCCTCCCATGGCCGCCGATTCACTCGGGCCCCACGAGCCTTTAAACGGCCGTTACATCCTCGTCACCAATCGTACTCAAACATGGATGGGTCCCGCTCAAACGATTACGGATAAAGTGAAACTCTATTTGACATATCAAGTGTCCGCATGGGTTCGAATTGGAACTGGAGCAACTAGACCTCAAGGAGTGAACGTCGCCCTTGGAGTTGACAGTCAATGGGTCAACGGCGGTCAAATCGAGATTAATGATGACAAGTGGCATGAAATCGGTGGATCTTTCAGGATCGAGAAGCAACCGGCAAAGGTGATAGTTTATGTGCAGGGTGCCGATGCCGGTGTTGATTTGATGGTTGCGGGGCTTCAAATCTTTCCGGTCGATAGGCATGCGAGGTTTAGAGAGTTGAGAAAACGAACGGATAAGGTTAGTTTTCGATTTCTTGCTGTTCAAGTAAACAGTAGAAAAGTTTTAATAACACTCGAATCTTTTACGTATGAAATTTGCTAAAAAAAAATCATACATTACAAGAAATTGGTATGATTTTCACACAAAATTGTTGCATGTTTTAAACCGTGCAGATACGCAAGCGCGACATTATTTTAAACCTCAACACATCAGATTCATTCCCATTGGTCGGCACCTTTCTGAAAATCGAACAAACGCAAAATGGCTTCCCATTCGGATCATGCATAAACAGGTCCAACATAGACAACGAAGACTTCGTCGATTTCTTCACCAAAAACTTCAACTGGTCGGTCTTTGGTAACGAGCTCAAGTGGTACTGGACGGAGCCACAACAGAACAACTTCAACTACAAAGATGCCGACGAAATGTTGACTTTCTGCGAGGCCCACAACATCCAACTCCGCGGCCACTGCATATTCTGGGAGGTCGAGTCAACCGTCCAGTCATGGCTACGCGCGTTGACCAAGCCCGACCTAGCGACAGCTGTCCAGAACCGCCTCACGGGCCTTCTTACACGCTACAAGGGGAGATTCAAGCACTACGACGTGAACAACGAGATGCTCCATGGGTCGTTCTATCAAGACCGCCTCGGAAAGGACACAAGGGTCAACATGTTCAAAACGGCAAGTCAAGTGGACCCCACCCCCGCCCTCTTCGTGAACGACTACCACGTAGAAGACGGTTGTGACTCCAAGTCTTCGTCGGAGAAGTACACACAACAGATTCTCGATCTTCGAGCGCGTGGGGCCCCCGTGGGTGGGGTAGGTATACAAGGGCATATAGATAGTCCGGTGGGGCCCATCGTTTGCAGCGCGCTCGATAAGTTGGGGATTCTGGGGCTTCCGATTTGGTTCACGGAACTCGACGTGTCGTCGGAGAACGAGTTTGTTAGAGGGGATGATTTGGAAGTTATGCTTAGGGAGGCTTTTGCGCACCCGGCGGTTGAAGGTGTGGTGCTGTGGGGATTTTGGGAGATGTTTATGAGTCGAGATAACGCGCATTTGGTTAATGCGGAAGGTGAGGTTAACGAGGCGGGGAAACGGTACCTTGCTCTTAAGGAAGAGTGGCTGTCGCGTGCTTGTGGGTGCGTCGATGGGGAAGGGCAGTTTGAGTTTAGAGGATTTCATGGTTCGTACGAAGTTGAGGTTGTTACTATTTTTGGAAAGAAGTTGACGAGGAAGTTTGTCGTTGATCCCGGTGAGGAGCCAATTGAAATATCCACTGATCTCTAGTGTCTTTCTTTATATATATATATATATATATATATATATATATATATATATATATATATATATATATATATATATATATATACTGTTGCACATTGTGAAACAGGCTACATGTAAAAGAAGAACAATTTGTTGGTAGCTTGACAAAGTAAATTGTAATGTTGATCATGTTATGTGAATAATATTGTTGTTTCTATTGTAAGATTCTACTAAATAAAAACAAAAGTATCATATTATTATGTGTATCGCTTGAAGTATTCAGAATTGCTTGGTTGTTTTTTTTAAAATTATGTTGCTCTGAAGTAGAATTTTCGTTTAAGGAATAAGCACGTTGATCTTTGTTGGTGATTTTATTTATTTTCTTCTTTACATAATATTAATATTTTTTTTATTATTAATTATTTATATGATACTAAAAAAATTATAGAATAACAAGTAAAACTGATATTTTTTATATGTATTTATTAATATATTATGATTATTAAATATTTTATTATTATATATAGTAATATTCATATTAAAAATAAAAAAAAATATATAAATATAATAAAAGCTCATCAGTCGGCTCATGAGTTAATGAACAACTAAGACTGGACTCGAACTCGAACTCGAAAAATTCGAGCTGGATCTCGAGCTGGCTCATCGAGCTCATGAACCGGCGGCTTAATTTGTTTATACCCCTAATCTACCCACGTGGAGTAAATTATTTTCTACTTTCGTCTTCCCCATTGTGCTTGTTAGAAAAAAAAAAGCGCTAATCATGTAAGCTAATTAATTAGTTTATTATCCCGAAATACTCGATTACTTATAAACATGATTCGCAACAAATTATAACCCTACCTAACATGCATTATTAATCTAAAATTAGGATATGCAAATCGATTATCAGATGCAATATTAACAACAAATTATGATTACGACTACACAAGGAATACATGTATATTTCTATCTTATACTCATGCTAAGAACATCAAGTAGATGATTATAAATTGAGAGCTCTTTTGCCCACGGTTCTAGATGATTAAAGCAATTCGTCAATCACTTCAATAAAACTGATCCAGACACAATTGCCCTATAAAGCCATATCTCGTCGATATCATCGATCTCATACCATATCCCATCAATCGAATAACTTTTTTCATGAAATACCCATACAAGGAAAAAGATCTATTCACTGATAAGAAAAAGAAAAAAAACGTGAATGGGGATTGGATTGATGATAAAATAGAATCCTGGGTCGCGAACAATGATTCGATTGATGATGAAGAAAGAGAATTATTGGTTCAGTTTTCCGCCTTAACGACAGAAAAAAGGATTGCCATTAATAAGCAAATACAATTTTCTTAAGGCTAATATATGAGGTGTGTATGAGTTCAAGCAATATATGACAAATTGGGAGATTGTTAGAAGGGGAAGGTCTTGTAACGAGGTGAGGAAGGGCTTGTAGCGAGTCCTTCCCCCTTATGAATGAGATCTTTCTTCAAGATCAAGCTCTCACTTCCCCTTATGAATGAGATCTTTCTTCAAGAGCGAGCTCTCATTTCATATGAATTAGCGTCCTTTACGCTAATTCCATCTTTCCCCTCGAAAATAAGCTAAGTCAGCATCACTCGAAAGTGCACAAGAGTGTGTGTAAGTGTTTGTGAAAGAACACAAGTGTTGGAGAATGCTAATGTGCTCTCAAGCTTTACACTCTTTGGTTAATGAATTGTTTGATGATTACAAATGAATGACTCTACCCGTTTTTATACAACTCCACCTCCTTCATGGATGGTGGTGATCATCTTGAGCTAAATGCTACGATTAAGTCCTACGATCTCCTACCAAATATATACAAATGAAGATTCTCTAAGGATATTTGCATTAATGGGAGGATCCTAGAAGATCTAGAATCCTCTATTCTTGGGCTTAATTGGGCTCCCTACGTCTTGGCCTCACTTGATGGGTCAACGGTAACCCCTTGGTTCCAAGGCAAAATGGGTAGCCCGTGACACTGCGCCCTGAAGCGAGAGCTCGCTAATGACATATCAGAAACCCAGGAAGGTCACGTCACCTCCACGAAGGGGCATTGCATAAAGTGACAGCGGGACCCACTGATTTACCTAAAGGGCAGGTATAAATAGCAGTTTTGAGGTATAAGAATAGACAGATTTTTGGCATTATCATGTATTTTTCTTCCTCTCTTCGAATACCCAACTGACTTGATCGTCGTAGTGGTAACCTCGGGAGACTCCTCACGTTACACTTTTTTTTGCAGGTCTTTTGCGCTTGGCTTTGGCTTTCTTCCTCGTGCATTCCGTACGTAGTTCCTTAACCCATTACATATTCTCATATCTTTGTTCCGGCCATTTAGGTCAGGTCAAAAACAATATCACAAATTGATCAGATTCATGAATAAATTAGGCCTAAGGTGAAAAAATAAATAATTCATAAAACTTGGATCATAGATAAATTTAATCCAACAAATCTCTTATAGGGTTCCAACAAAATCCTGGATTACAAGTTTAGCTACTCATGTTGTTCAATACAAAAACAATAAAAGTAGTAAAGATTCATGGTTTTGGAGAAATAAGTAGAGATAAACTATGATGAAGAATTGTCAAATCTTCGTCTTCGTTTGCTCCGTCTTCTCGCTCTTCTTGCTCCAAGATTTCTCTTAATTTTCGCTCAAAAGAAACCCCCAACTTCTTGGAAACGCTTCTTTTATACCTAAACTTGTGGCCCAAGATTCTAACTTTTCAACAAATTTCCATACAAAAAACATTTCGGACCGCGGTCTCACAAATTGCACCGAAAAGTGAGACCTTGTCACATTAAGCATATTTTCAGCTTTGTTTCCTTCTCATCTCATACTGGAGTATGGGATTCCTTCACTATTCTGAGACGGAGGTCCGAGAAGGTAACACGGGTTTTTGTCCGATTCTGTGATTTTCACGTCGTTCCGTCTCCTTGCCTTCTTCAACCTCGAACTCTATTTATTCTCCTACACAGTCAATTAAACAACATATCAACGCATTCATCATATCAAATCACACAAAAATCCAACCTAAAGTATGTGTAATTTATACACCCAACAAATTCAACAAAAGATTCAATGGACTGACCGTCAATTCTATAAATTCTGGAATCCAGTTCATATATAATATTTATATAATTGTACTAAGCATATATATATTATTAACTTGTGAACCTTCTTCAATATGTCCATTGAAAAACTATCTGTAGTAAATAAATGCGAGAATCGAAAAAATATTACTTGAAAATTCCCTATGTACCCCCAAGAAGTTAATTGTAAGATTTAATTACGCCTTTATATTTACTAGCAAGCATGTCACAATTTTACTAATAAAATTTACCATCTAGTTAATTAGACATAGAAATTATATTTGGACACTTTATAAATAAGCCCATTAATGGGTGATTATTTATAAAGGACTTTAGAAATAAAAAAAAAAAATTAAAAAAACAAAAAGTCCACACATTGTCCAGATGTTTGTAAAAGACTAAAATAGTCCATTACATTTTAATATGCTCCAATTTCACCCTTTAATTTAATTTAACCACAATTTGCCCTAAATTTCACAAATTATTCAATTTTGACCCAAAACACAATTTTGAGTACAATTTTGACCACTGGTCTCCGACGTTGATTTTTCCTGATTTTTTTGCTGCCGGTTTCCGGCGTTGACTTTTTCGATTTTTTTTTTTTGTTTCTTTAACATCTTTTTGCCCCCCGTGTAAACAATAATATTGTTATGGTTGGCAGTAATATTAACTATACTACCATTTAACAAAGTAATATTGCTATATTAATCTCTAGCACAGTAATATTAACACAACAAAAGTCATTATTATTGTGTAATAGAATAATATTAATATGTTGACCGTTCAACAAAGGTAAACATAATAAAAAGCCAAAACAATTAATATTACTGTGGTTAACAGTAATATTACTGTAACAACAGTAATATTACCGTCAACCACAATAATATTATTACGTTACTCCGTCAACAACTCAAACAAAACAAAAAACCCAAAAAATAATAATATTGATGTGGTTGACAGTAATATTATTGTTTTTACAGTTATTTTACTGTCAACGACAGTAATATAATTACGTTGACTTGTCAACAAATCAAAAAAAATGAAAAAAAAAAGACAAAAAAAATAATAATATTGTGGTTGACTCTAATTGTACTGTCAACAACAATATAATTAAATAAATATATAGTCAACGACCGTAAAATTACGTTAATGTACTGTCAACGACAGTATAATTACGTTAATTTACTGTCAGTGACAATACAATTACTGTTAATGACAGTACAATTACGGTCACCGTTTAGCGGCTGGCGTAAAAAAACGGAAAAGAAAAAATAACAAAAAAAAAAAAGGTTAACGCCGGAGACCTGCGGTCAACTCCGAAAACTAGCGGTAGAATTTTTTTTTGAAATAGGCCGGAAACCGATGGCGGAAAAAACTGACAAGAAAAAAAGAAAAAAAAAATCTAAAAGTCAACGCCGAAAACCGGCGGCAAAAAAATAATTTCTGAAAATAAAAAGTTAAAAAAATGTCAAAATTGGATTTTTGTGGTCAAAATTGATTAAATTGGGGTTACAATTAAGAATTGAGTGTAGATGGTTGGGGGTAATTTTGTCATATACATTAGTTTTTCCTTTATTTATAATACATATTAAAGGGATGAGCTTATTGACGAAATAGATCTAGCCCCTGAACCTAGAATAATAAAGATGGTTGGTCAGAGACTCATGCACAAAAACCCCTTTATATTTTACAAACCTATAGAAATGAAATAAAATCAAACATATCAATATGGATGGTGGAGTAAAATTATTTGAAAAATTGAAATGAGTAAGAATTTAAAACAAAAGTAAAATAAGTAACGTAAAACCCTTTTTTTCGGTCTAGCAAAATCACGACACACAGATATGTTGCATTCAGTAGTTATCACTACGAGTTTATGTGAATGAGCGTTCTTGATCGATATTCAGTCAAAGTATCAACATCTTTGATTGTACATTGTGTTTAGTTAGTACTTCTAGTTCCATTATATTACAATTATTAATGGTATCTAGGATATATATTTTTTAGAGCTAATTGCATGGAACTCCCTGTGTAATTTCAAATTGCTAAAAAGACCCTCGTATTAAATAAATTAGCACATAGCCCCCTATGTTATCTTTCACAGAGCACACTGCCCATTTTTTTCAAAATTGGTTGTTGACTTATATGCAATGACTAATTTACCCTTACAAAAGAAAAAATGAAATTTAAAAAAAATTAAAAAAAGGAAAAAAAAAAGAAAAAAACTGAAAAAAAAAGTAAAAAAACAAAAGGGGCTGCAAAAGAATGAAAAAGAAGATGATAATTCTTCGTTTAAATTTCTAAGAAGAAGACATTTATCTTCTTTGATTCTTAATATTTTCAGTATTAATGCCTCACAACTCGCCGAAATCGTGTTTCCGTTCAATTTGTCCGGAAAACACTTTCCCCTATCGAATCTACGTCGAACCAAACCCCCACCTTTAGAACTCGCCGGAAGATTTGGCCGGAAAACGTCTGCCCCCGTCCAACCTACATTGGACCAGCCCTCACCCTTAGATCTCGCCGGAAGAACTTACCCGTAGTCGTCGTTCTCGCCAAAAAACCGTAGTTGAAGCACGCAAGGGCTGAAGATCCTCCATTATCGACGAATGTCGGAGGGCTGGGGTTCTTCAAGAACTTTGCGGCGGCAAAGAGAAATTGGCGATGGAGAAGGAGATAGTCTTGAAGGCGAAGAGGAATTAATCTCTGCTATGGACGGTGTCACCGGCGAGAAGAGTGGAGGCGGTGGAATAAATTTGGGGAAGACGTATTCCTTCAGATTTTTATTTTTGTTTTTTTACTGTATTCTTTTTGTTTGTTTTAAGAAGTTTTGAAAATTGCAATTTGATCCAAAAATTTGAATTATTTATATTAAGCACCAATTAGATTTATCTTTATTTATAGAAGAACTTCAGAGGGTACTCTTGACTTTTCATATCAGAAAATACACTATCAGTCGCACAACCCGCGTGTGGATCACACGACATGTTTTCAGGGACTTTTTTGGCTTTGACTAATTTTTATAGGGGGGTTTATGCTAATTTTTTTAACACAAGGACTTTTTTAGCCATTCGAGATTACACATGGGTGGTTCTTGCAAAAAACCCATATTTTTTATATTATATTACTTTCTATAATTAATTAAAATTTGGTGGAGAAATGTGACAATACGTAAAGGTTGGAAATATCACACCGTTTGTCGAAGTTTTGTCACATGATAATTCACTTGTGTGAAAAATGCAAACTTATCATGTGATGTAATTCATTTTTAGGGATGGCAGATGACAAATATATATAGGTTGCGGCTATATGCAAGACTAATTCCACTTGTACAAGACCAAATTAAATTTTTCAATGTATAAATACTATAATACCCTTATTTATTAAAAAAAAAAAAATTCCAAATATGCAAGACCAAAAATTCAAAAACACAAAAAACCCTATCACAAGACCACAAAACCACAAGACCAACTCTCATCTTCTCCATCTTCCAAAACCCACAAGACCTTTCTCCTTCCTCCTCCATTAACCCACAAAACCTAGAAATTCAAAATCATCAAAACTCAACAAATCTTACAAAGATGGCAAGTATGGAGTCAGGAGACATCAAAATAGAAGATTCTACGATGGAAGAACCCAAGAATGTATGCATTTATGGGTTTTTTTAGCTAGAATATCGATTTTCCAAAAAAAATCCCGTGCAAACGAATTCGACATGTACAGGTCGAATTTTACAGGTAAAAATCGACATTTAGATGTCGATTTTGAGGTATAAAATTCGACATTTGAATTTGTGCTATAAATTCGACATGTCAATGTCGATTTTTACCTATGAAATTCGACGCTTAAGTGTCGATTTGTAGCATAGTTTTTCGACACCTTGGTGTCGATTTTTGTTTTTTTTCTCATTATTTGTATTTGGTCTTACATGAGAAAAAAAAGCCAATTTAATTTATTGGCATACATGTCATTCCATCTTAATGAAATAGAAGCTTTTGGAATCTTTCTTTAATTTGGTCTTGCACAAGTGAAATGAGTATTGCATATAGCCGCAGCCATATATATATAACCCATCATGTATAGTGTCATCGATCGATATAAACCTTTTGGTAGATAGGTCATTACTTTACCCAGAATGGTGGCCGATCGAATTGGTCGAGAAAGATGGCGAAACGCCTAATGTTAGGGGTAGATGTAAATGCCCAATGTTAGGGCAAATGTGTATTTTCCACCAAAAGACTAATAATGGGTGCAAACTACGCCTTAATAAAAAAGTAATTCATCACTTTTAAACATATATCTTGATGCGCCAAAGCATGTTGCCCCTTGCTATATATAGCATGAACCTACTTTTTTTCTTTTTTTGTTCTTTTTTTTGTTTTATGCTGGCGATCATGTAACAAAAACGATTCTCAAACACCAAAAAAATTCCCCCAAAATGCCATAAGATACAACAAGTAGCAATTTTTACTACTAGATTTAATCAAATGTGCAATTTTAATATGTGACAGTCAGAGAAATTGAAAACTTCATTTTCCTCTCATTAGCATCTCCATCACGTGCAGATTGATTCCTATGTCATTAATTAATTAATCATCACCAGAAGAAGAAAATTAATTTAATTAATCCAGTGATTCCCCTGGATAAAACTCTGAACCGAGTAGGATCCGACATGCTCGGCGGGGATCCGGCTACTCCAGGGGACCCGCTTCGACACGTCAGCACCAGCGCCCTTATTCTGAAACTCACCATAATACAGAGTCTTCAAAGCAAACTCACCATCCCAAGGCATCCATCCATCGACGGTCACGAGCGCCTCCATCGTGCACCCAACGAACACCGTCCGCGAATATTCCTTCCAGGGCCTCCCCAGGAAGTTCTGGTGCACCTTCGGCTTACTGTAGTACAGCCTCATGTACTCCTCCGTCCCGTTGATCACCGAGTTCTGGAACACGAACCCCGTCGACTGGGCCGGGTCGATCCTGCCGTGGGCGGTGACCGCATTCTTCTCCCCCTTCTCAGGGTTCAGCTGACGTGGCGCGATCAGGATGTGGCAGTCCTGGAAGAGTGCCGCGGAGTTCCCGAAGATGAAGTCCACGTTCCCGATGACGTGGCAGGACTTGTAGTACTGGCGGAGGCTGTGCGCGTAGAGCGTGTCCTGGTTGCCGATGAATTCGCAGTCCTCGACGAGGGTGTGGTCGCTGTCTGATCGGAATGCTACCGCTTGGTGCGCTTCTGGCCCTGCTGTGTTCTTTATTGTTAGCCCACGCGCCATGAATCCGTCACCCACAACTCCTGTGTACGTAAAAATACAATTATATATAAATTAAATATCCTCTATATATGTAATGTAACTAATCGTGTAGAAATCGAGAGCTCAATTGATTTGAAAATTATGAATTCCGTCGATTTTCGTAAACAAAGTACGATTTTGAATGAGTTTTTCATTGCAATTTTCAAAATTTCGCTTTTAATTTCTTTGAAATGGTATCGAAATTAAGTTTTCATTTCTGGAAAAAGTAAAATTTTTCGAAAGTGGTAATTCTGACTTGTGTCCCTTTCAAGATCCCAAATATCCAATATATTTTTGGTGGGCATTTATTTCATTGTACTAATAAAAACATTTTTAAATGCTTAAGAATATTTCATTTGAAAGAAAAATGTGGAAAATAAAATATTATTATTAGTTTATATTTTGAATGATACTTGGCACTCTTTTAGTCAACTCATATATGAGATTTTAATTAGTTTTATGTATGTAACAAATGTGGATTTGGGATAAAATTTTTGGAAAATTCAATTTGGATGTAACAAATTGGACTAAAGAATCCTAGATATATATATTATAAATTGATATTTAGCATAATCAGAAAATGGAAGATTGGATATGGAAATATCGGTGAGTCAAACTTACCAACAGTGGCGGAGTTGTAGGTGGACATGCCCGGCTGGCCTACATTCCTAGACCCCGTAATTACCGTTTTGCCCATGCCGTCGCCCAACAACACCACATTCTTCTTCTCCAAGGGTACCCGAACCGTTTCCTCGTAAACTCCGGTCTTGATCCATATCACGAACCGTTTGCCCGACCCGGCATTGTCCGGCGCGGCGTTCACCGCCTCCTGCACGGTCCGGTAATTGCAACCACCTCCGCCCTTGCACACGGTCACGTCCGCCTTCAGCCCGGACGGAACGCCGCCGCTAAGCGACGACCCGGAAGATTCCGACGCCGGTTCCCAGAACCCGTCGCGCTCTGTTCTGGGCGGGCCCCACCACCCGGTTTTGTCGCCGTAGATATCGTAGTTCATCAGCATTCCCGAGCGCGCTGCTGCTGCCGGCGATCAGAGTGGTGTTGAAGAACACCATTGTCTGGACGACCTGTGCCGTGTCGTTCACGTACTTGAGCGCCGACCAGCAGTCGTACTGGTACACCAGCGCCGCGCTCATCCACGCGCGCGCGTCCTTCAGCTCGCCGCGCGTGAGGGCGCCGCCGACGAGGCCGATCCGGTACTCGGAGTAGCCCACCATCTCCAGGCATGTTTTGGCGGCGGCGGATCGGTTCCGGTTACCGGCGGAGGCACCCAGGATGTCCTGCACCATGCCCCGCCCCTTGCCGAGATTCTCGGTGGTCGACGACAGGGCGGATTGGATCACCTGCAAAACGGTGGCGTTTGGAGTCACGTGACCGGAATGGGAGAGCCATGATTCGCATGCGGGAGGGTCACGTGAGGCCTTGCAGGCCTCGTGGATGATTCTGGATTCTTGTTGTGATGTGCAGGATGGGTCGTGGGTGTTGTGCGGTGGCTGGTGGTGGTGGTGGTGGTGGTGGTGGTGGTGGCGGGAGGCGGCGGAGGAGGAGACGGAAAAGCAGAGGAGGAGACAACATAGAGAAATGAAAGCCGCCATTGAAATGATGGGGGCGAACTCCGATATGTATGCAAACGTTTGTGGTGTATTGTAATTGTAGGTGTGGGGACCGGGGCACTATATATATGTATTATTTTGCTGCAATTTTGAATTAATTGGTAATTTCTTTCTATGAATATAGGTGGGGATAAATAAGTATAAAATCCAGAAAAAATATTCGTTTTGGCTTATATTTGATGATTTGTTCTATACTACAATTTACAACAATGTTTCTTAAAGAAAAGAAGACCGAATTTTGACGGTCAACGTGAATCACTGATAAGTCAAATGTGAGTAATAAAAAAGAAAGTGAATATTATAAGCAATTTTTGGTGATTGAACTAATTTGTGGAAAGTAATTGATGGAGGAGAATTGATTTACATGGGATAGGGATTAGGGAGTAGACTGAATCACGGGTTGAAAATGGATTAGAGCGGCAATAAGAACAAACAATATATGGAATGATCTAACATTTATTCTCAAAATCATTGTAATTTTTAAATAATTCAACGCGCATTAAAGTTACATCCTTTTCTTTTTTTTATAAATTCAGCTCAAATTGCTTATAAAAAATTAGCTATGATCCATATATATAATTTTCCTGACAATAATAATTAGGACAACTCAATCATATATGAACGTATTATCGATTTTAAGTTAATTTTAATATCATATTCTGTTAACATACTCAATTTTCATAAGTTTATTGGCAATTTTTAAATTTTGCAATCGTTTTTGTTAAAATATTCAAATTTTAGAAGTTTACTTCCATTTCCTTATAGGTTTACTATTACATTGTGCTGAAATACTCAATTTTCAAACAGTTGTCAAAAGTGGGAAAAAAAATTCTTATTAAAATCACTAGTGTTTCACCGTTGCACGGATGCCGATTTCAAAATGAGAAAAATAATCCTAACCCTTAGGAGTGTGCGCTGGTCGTAAACTCGTGGGTTATAGCAAAACTCGTCCTCGTTCCGTTAACCAACGGTTCTTGAGGAATCAAACTTGTGAGTTTTCGACGGGTTTAGAATAGACGGGTTTATTGTGGGTTTAAAGTAGAACCCAACCTTCAAGGGTCGAAATTCATCGTAATTTAAAAAAAGTTATTTTCTTTAATAATTATAAGTTTTACGCGACATTATTTAGAGATTGAAGTAAATGACCAAGCGTAAAATTTTAAATTGAAACAAACGTGAATAACATCAATGATAAATGCTACGAGTAAATCAAAATTAATACGTTTTAACCATAAATCCGAAAAAGAGTAACTAAATTCAAACCTTAATTTATAAGACAAGATTTAAAATAAAATAGATAATCATAGACAAAACGAAACGATGTCGTCGTTATAGATATAAGTTTTGACATGTAAGAGCTACTTATTAATTTATTATACTACATAATATAAACAAACAATGTCGTTTTGTATAGCTGCGCGGAACGGGTTTCACGGGTATTAAATTTTTTTGAACTCGTCTTAGACCCAAACCCGCGGATCTTGTCCATTTTAGGACCTAATTCGATAAATGGATCTATCTGTCCGGTCCTAACGGGACGATTTTTACCGGGTTTGACGGGTTCAACGGGTTGATAGGTCCGACTTGCTCACTCCTACCAACCAACCCCCATTAGGAGACTTGGTACCTAGCAGCAATAAGGTAAAAGGTCTAGGGTTCGAGTCCCCCCTCCCCTACTTCTCTTTGTAAAGGACTTGAATTTATTCAAAAAAAAAATTGAGAAAAATAATAATATGTAAATGACTATCTCTTTATCACGGATTCTAATTCTAATTCTAATCTTAATTCCAATCCTAATGCTAATCATAATCCTAATACTGACACATGTCACTAATTGTAGTATTAATCATAATCATAATCTTAATTATATATTTATAATACTAATACAACCATAATCCTAATTTCAATCCTAATATTAATTATTTATTAATTCTAAGTATAATCCGTATCCTAACCCTAGTATCTTATATATAAAAGAAAGAAACGCTTGATAATCCTAAAAAGCCCTATTGGCATTTCTGTAATTATTTATTTTTAATATTTTTTCTCTACTAATGTATATAAAAGAAAGAAACGCTTGATAATCCTAAAAAACCCTATTGGCATTTCTGTAATTATTTGTTTTTAATATTTTTTCTCTACTAATTTCTAACTAGGATTTTTAACAATTATCAAAATTAAAACTAACCCGTGAAGAATCCTACCTTATTGGTACTTATGTAATTATTTATTTTTAATATTTGTAAAGTCCCCATGAGCGTAATTTTTGTCTTAAAAAAGTACCATAAAGAAATGCCGCGTGTGCAGAGAATCAATATTTTTCAGGAATATTCCACGTAATTAAACAAATTCCGTGAAAAATCATACTATAAGGAGGTCGATTCAAGACGGAAACATACATCAGGGGAATTTCACGGGTAATACCTAAACCGATACCATTTGATATAACTCAAACCAGGACTATACTAAACCCATTTTTATGAGCGTTTCTAATTTAATTTCCCATTATTAGCAATAAACCCCTCATATAGATAATAAATGGTGATATGTCCACTCCTTAAATCTTTCTTTCTGATAAACCCCTAGAATTTGTATTTCCAATTTTACCCTTATGTCAATTAGCATAATTAGTCTCAATTATTCCGTTTTTCTCTCTTTCCATAACAATAATCTAATTCCTAAAAATCTGCTTCCAAATTCCTATAAATTTGCTACCAAATCAAAAAAATATTTTATTTTTTATTTTTTATTTTTTATTATTTTCGGATTTTATAGTCATTTTTTAATTTATTTTTATTTTTTAATATTTTTCCTAATAAAAAATATTTTTTTTTAATTTTTATTAATCAAAAAATTGAATTTTTTTTTCTCGACAGATTTACAACTCCGAATATGACTACAGTTGAATATGGCTATTATGTGACTACGCTATTATGTGACTACACTGTGTATAATAGTGTAATTAACATATTGTAGAAGCATAATTATTAAAGTAATAGTAAGAATATGACTATTATGTGAATGTGATTGTGTTTTGTAAAACATTATAATTAACAGACAATAGAAGCATGATCCTTAACAAAAACAGGAAAAATATGACTATTATGTGACTAGGTTATGCGTAAGTGACTACAAGTAATCAGCACTTGAAAAAACTTACAATAGCAAAATACATTGCAAAAAGAAAAAAAATGACTAAAAAAAACAAAAATAACTAATGTGATCTCCCATCGAACATGTTTTTTTGTTGCGGTATCCAACTCGGTTGCACCGACTGCAATTAATCTTCCGTTTGATCTTCTCTGTTAAATATGACTACATCGTTAAACATATGCAGCACTACAAAAAAAAAAGGAGAAGGCGGCGGCAACGAACGGCGACGGTGATAGTTGTGTACAAATCTAACCCAAAACCCAAACAACATGAAACACGAAAAAAAATATAAATCACAACTCTTATCATGCAATCCAATCCACAACTGTCAATGCATACAAATGCATAGATACATGCTCTAGGATACGAAAAAACAAAAACTCACAAAAATTAATGATATGCATGATAGTTCAAATCTACGCATTATAACAAACCAAATTATAACCATTGCAGTTTTACAGCAATGCCATTATAATTTTCATGATATTATAACCATTTTACTAAAGAAAAAATAAAATAAAATAAAATAATATAACTAAAAATTTAGATCCATAACAAGTTTTACAGCAAATTAATTCGAGAAAAAAAAAATTATACCGATTAATTTGTAGATATTCAGCAATTGTGGTTTTGGCAAAGGACGACGACGGCGATTTCGACGGAGGGGCGGCGGCTGTGGTGAGAACATGGGCGGCGTGGGGTAATTTCTAGATCTCCATCGGTGTCCTGCCGCTAGTCCTTTGAATCCTTTACCATCTGTGATTTTCGATTCCTGCCGCCGGAATCTTCTGTAGCCTCCTCGATTTTTTAGTGGTGGAAATATTAGATCTAGGATTTGGGAGATGAAGAACAGAGAAAGAGAAAAAAAAAATCAGATGAGAACGAGAATGACGATTGGGAGCGGAAGAAAAAGAATTAGGATTTAGGGTTATTGTGGTTGAGGGTACTTTTGTCTTATCACATAGGTCTAGGGGGGTCTCACAAATTAAAACTGAAATTTGGGTGTAGACAAAAGTCTTTAAAGTCAATTGGGTTTAATTCAATATATTTCACATATGAGGGGGCTATTGCATATTTCCCCATTCAATTATTGGAGCGATTGCAGATGTTGAGGCGAAAATAGCCATTTCAGTTCCTATGCAATGTCCCTACAACTTTGCGGCCGAAACGAGCAATTTTTTAATCAAAATATGTCTTAAAAATATTTTATGGTGTTTAGCACGAAAATTTAACTTATTAACGTTTCCGCGTTCGAACATTGTTTCGTGTCTAATATTCGATGACACCTCTCGAACATCTTAAGGGCCATTTTAAAATTTCTAAAAAGTTAGAAAAATGTTTGAATAACAAATTTCAGATATTTTTGTTGCTTCCCTAATTATTCACACATTTAATGATCAATTGTAAATTAATACTTGATACTTGATAGTAAAATTTATTTTAATGATTAATTTTTCTGTTTAGTAAAACCATCAATAAGCATTTAATGCGAACTTCAGTGTACATGGAAAGTATATAGATGCTGCTAGTGTGAACAGAGCGATTTCTATTACATTAAATATGGTAAAATAATCGCAACGGGTAAATTCGGCAGAGAAAATAAAATCTTGATCTATATATAATCATGACCATCTGAAGACCGAACAACTTCACAATTGTAATTTTCCTTGTCTGAATAATTCTCATCTATCAGCCATGGAAAACATCAACAAAGGATTAACTACTTGCAAGAAAAAAACAATGGGGCGAAGGAAGATCGATATTAAAAAAATCGAAAAGAGAAGCAGTCTGCAAGTTACATTCTCGAAGCGGAGAATGGGCCTGTTTCGAAAAGCCAGCGAACTCAGCGTTCTCTGCGGTGCGGAAATCGCAATCCTCGTGCAATCTCCGGCGAATAAGATCTTCTCGTACGGCCACCCTTCCGTCGAAACTTTGTTCCACCGCTACCAGACCGGTGGAAGCAGCAGCGCAGCCTTGAGTATTATCCCTTACAGGGAAGACGGGAGGAGTAAGTACGATGAAGCTGTAAGGAAACTCGAGATCGTAAAGAGATCAACGAAGCAAGAGAGTAGTAGTAGTAGTATTACAAGATTCTGGTGGGACGAGCCGTTGGATGGCATGGGTACGAACTTGAGGATTATGTCGATGCAATGGAAGCTTTGAACGATAACGTCTCGCGCAGAGTCGAGGAGATGCAGAAACTGAAATCGAACGCTGCTTCCACTTCTACGTCGGATTTTGATCGTAGTTTCCAGATTAGTTATCAAGATTTCGATGTAAGTAACTTTCTTGACTTTCTTGTATGTTTTTAGGGTTTCTAGGGTTTGTGAAGAACTTCATTTTTTTTTCAAGAATCAAATCATTAGTGCATATGTGTTCATTAAATTCAGACATTAACATGAACTGAGTTTTGGATCATCACTACAAGTAGTTTATTCATTAATATTTTTTTCTTACAAGTAGTGCATATTTTTTTTTTTATTAGTGATTTTTTTCCCTTTCTGCTTTAGGGTTTTTAGGGTTTCTGACAAGTAACTGAACTCGGAGGTTCAATAAATTGAGGCAGTAAACATGATGAACTGATGTTTTATCATTACATATCCATTCAATATTTCTTGCCAGATTCAATCATCTACATATTTATACGATTGTTCTATATAATTATAAGATGCTTATGTTATTATATAAACAATAGTTGACTCGATTATTTTCTGACTTGTTAATTCGGCAGGGATATAAGAGCGAGTTCGAAGAGATGTTGAAAGCGGAGGCTGGAGATGATATCAGCGCACAGATGAAGAACGGCGTCAGTGGTTCGATTTTTGACGAAGACGATGACATTGTTCTAGACATTGATGAAATATTTAATTTCAGTCAAGATCCAACCATGTTTTTCGACGTCTGATCCGAAGCTTCATTCAACAATTATTAACTATATATTATTCATAGTACATGATATAACGATATTTTTGATTTTTTTTTTTAAATTCTGATTAATCAGTTGTGTATATATTCATATATTACATGGTTTCCATTCTTGCTCTGCAGTTACTGTTTTAACTTTTAACGTTTATTGAATTAATTCATTATTGTTTCATCCTCAGAATATATAGAAAAATATATTTTATTCATATTTCAAGAATGCTAAAGTTTTTAAAATATAACCTTCTCATACAATTTAGTAAACATTCGTAGTGTGGGTTTTTTTTTTTTTTTTTTTTTTTTTTTTTTTTTTATTTTTATTTTTAATCATTGGTATAAAAATAAACTAAATTAAAGTACTCTTTAGAAGACATCAGTATTTTTTTTGGGATAATTACAGTTTTGGTCCCCCAAGTTTGCACGTTTTTCACTTTTGGTCCCTCATTTACCGCCATCAACAAACTACACACTAATGTTGTCACATTTAAACACATTTAGTTCCTCCGTCTGTTTGACCGTCAAGAAGTAACTGTCAACTGTTGAATTAGGGCTGAATTTGGGATTTCATTGAGAAAATTGCACTCAGACCCCTGCATTCTATTAAAATATTATAAAAACCCCTAAAATATTATTCACCCCTAATTTAACCCCACTTTCATCATTTAATCAATTTAGACAAACGACCCCGATTTTTACCACCATTACCGCTGATCGTTGACCGCCGTTGATTTTCCTTTTTTAACGCTTTCTTTCGGCATTGATTTTTTTTAATATTTTTTTGACGCCGTTCACCGACATTGTATTCTCGGTTAACAATGTTGACTTTTTTATTTTTCGTGATTTTTTTGAACTTTTTCTTGTGACTTTTTTTTAGATCAACACAATATTATTACTGTATAACACAATGATAATATTATATTAATATCTTATATCGTAATATTAAAATTAAAAACTTCTAACAATATTTTTATCTAAAATTTTGGGGCCTAAATACAATATAAAAAATTCTAAAATACATAATTTCTTCCCCTATATTTTTTTTTGTGGAACTGCCGGTGCATCCCAAATTTCTTACTAGAAAAGTATGAAGAAGATAAATTAGGCATGTGCAGAGTAATTTGGAAATGAAATAGCACCCTAGTACAACGGTTTTTGGGGTTAACACCGGCCGTTAATTTTTATCTTTTTTTTTTGTATTAAAATTTTTCCGTCATTGAGAGACATTGACTTTTTCCTTTTTTATTTTATTTTGAATTCTTTTATGATATTAGTTTTCTCGCCGATTATCAGCTTTGACTTTTTTTTTTTAATATTATATTTTTCCCACTACTCAACATTTTAAATTAAAATCAAGAGAAAAAAATGTCAACATTGTTGACCCGACATTCAACATCGGGGTCATTGGTTAAAATTGGTTAATTGATGAAATTGGGGTTTAATTATGGTTGGATAAAATTGTAGGGGTTTTTAGCATATTTTGAAAGAATGCAGGAGTCTTATTGTAATGTTTTCAAAGAAAAACCCCAAATTCAACCATAATTCAACCGTTGACCCTTACTTCTTAACGGTCAAACAGACGAAGGGACTAAATGTGTTAAAATGTGACAATATTAGTGTGTATTTTGTTGACGGCGGTAAATGGGGGACCAAAAGTGAAAAATGTACCAACTTCGGGGACCAAAACTGTAATTATCCCTGTTTTTATGTAATCTCTAATTATTGAAATGTTACGTTTTACCAAGCACTCAACTCGTTTCTGCGTGTATTACGATTCTAATACTCTATATTCAATTACTGTATTCCTACGCAGTTAATTTTAGAACACAACATTAAACACAAATCTCAATAATGGCTACTTACGAGATTAAATATATTCCTATGTTAATACCACAAAGGCTTTTCTACCACATTTCTAATTATTAACCCGATCTTCCGATTCATGCGATTAACAATAACATAAAAACACATAAGGTGATCCAATTCATGCACTTAATAAAACAAGTAGAAGAAATAATCCGGAATTAAAACTTGCATAAAATCATAGAAAATGGTTCATAAATCCCACATAGCGTTCCAAATAAAATTCTAGAAATAAGAAAATTAGCTACTCATGATTAAAGTAAAAACCCAAATAAAATAAATTATAGACGATAAATCTATGCTTGGAGTCTTCGAATTCTTCGTCTTCGTTATTGCTTTGTTGCTCTTGAAATTGCGTAAAAGATGGATCGCCAATTGTGTGTTTGACTTGGTCTTATATAGGGTGAAAATTTTGGAGCAGAATGTAGTTTCCTTGTGCAATTAAGATTCCTTTACTGCGCCTTTTCGTCATCTCGGACGGTCACCCCGAATTTTGTACTAAAACTCGGACGGCCGTCTCAAAACCAGAGATTGCTTCTGCTTCTCAGACGGTCGTCTCAGATTTAAGTGTAAATCTAAGATGGCCGTCCAGGGCTATATTTCTTCAGATTCTTTATTTCTTCACTTTTGTCCCATATTTTCTCAGAAATTACAGTTTTTACCCCATACTTTTTCAATTCTTCAATTTATACCTAAAATACAATAAATCAACTTTTTAAGCACCAATTATCGTTAAAACACACCAAAAGCTCCAATTAAAACGTACGATAAAGTGTAAAAATATACACTTAACACATGTAAACCATATAATTTTGTAGTTTGGTTGTAGATTTTGCAATATATATTTTTTGTTATGAATACTATACAATGTCTTATAGATATGTGTATATCATTATTATATTACAATATAGTCTGTAGTTTACGAAATATAGGTTTATTTTAATTTATATTTACATTTGAAATTCAGTTTACTTAGTATTTGAATTTCATTATAAGTTTGTTGTTATTCTCTTGTATTTATTTGAGTGTTAAAAATAAACTAATTTACATATATATATATATATATATATATATAAATAGCGATTGCACGTAAATTTACACGAAATAATAGAAAATTATTAAGAGAAAAAGAAAACGCATTTCGTGTTGTATTGCACGAAATGGAGTGTTTCATTTCGTGCAACATGACAACACGAAATGCATAAAAATGTCGAAATTCGACAAAAAACACATTTTTTATATCAAAATCGAAGTAGGTTTCATCCTTATTGATAATTATGGTGTTCTAAATGATACTATCGGACAAATTTGACGATTTGGTAAGTTTTAAAATTAGAAGGTTGAGAGGATTTCGAAAAATGTTAAAGGGTTTCTTGACAAATGAATTATTTCGCATTGTAATCGGAAAAAAAATGCACTATGAATAGTAAATCCCTAAATAAAAAGTAATAGTAAGATGATAAACATGATTTACTTATTTAGAATCAAATATTTAATATTTAATTACAGTATTTTCACAATTAAAAAGATGAAAAAAAATTAATTATTATATATAAGATTTTTGAAATATGTAAAGACGTAGATGGAGTGTTTTGCAATTTGCGCAAAATTAAAGGCTAAAAAGGAATAGATAAAAGTTATCACCTTCCTATTTAAGTCGTCCATTCATAGCAAGAAGCGAAACACAAATAATCCTTATCTGTCATAGTCCGCCTCCCTTTCTCCCTTTCATAAACATTTTTTTTTATCGAACATATCGATACAGAGTCGTGACCGCTGAAGTGAACTGGCATACCGTTTACCTTCGTGTGGCTGTTTCTCTCAGATCCGTGTAATTTTTCTATCTCTACACCTCTTAATAAAGTTAACATTTACTTCATTTATCTTTGTTTCATTCTTTGTGTGCCTTGAAATTTCTTGATTGGGTTTAGATTTATTTTTTTCGGGCATATTACAAATAAGCCCATCAGTGGGAACTTATTCATAAAGAGATCCAGACAATATTCTCCTTTACCAATAAGTCCACACATGGTCCAGATTTATGTAAAGGACTAAAATAACCCCTCTTACTTTAATATGCTCCAATTTCATCCTTAACTTACTTTAACTTCAATTTGACCCCAACTTTCACAAATTATTCAATTTTGACCCAAAACTTTTTTTTTTCACAAATTTTTTTTTTTTCAAAAACTTTTTTTTCCCGCCGGATTCCGGCGTTGACTTTTTAATTTTTTTTTTTTTTTTTTTTTTTTTTTTTTTTCCCCCCCGGATTTTTTTTTCCGGATTCCGGCGTTGACCGGCGGTCAACGCCGGTCTCCGGCGTTGACTTTTTATTTTTTTATTTTTTTTTTTTTTTTTTTTTTTTTTTTTTTTTTCTTCCGGATTTTTTTTCCGGATTCCGGCGTTGACTTTTTAATTTTTTTTTTTTTTTTTTTTCTGTAACTTTTTTTTCCGTTTAAACAGCAATATTGCTGTGAATGACAGTAATATTAACTATATTACTGTTAAACACAGTAAAATTAACTAAACTATAGTTTAACACATTGATATTGCTATATTAATCTCTAGCACATTAATATTAACACAACAAAATTCATTATTATTGTATAATAAAGTAATATTACTATGTTGTCCGTTCAACAAATGTAAACAAAATAAAAAAAACCAAAAGAATTAATATTACTGTGAGTGACAGTAATATTACTATAGCAACAGTAATATTACAATAGTAGACAGTAATATTATTACGTTACTTCGTGAATAACTCGAACAAAACAAACACCCCAAAAAAATAATAATATTGATGTTGTTGACAGTAATATTATTGTGTTTACAGTTATTTTACTGTCAACGACAGTAATATAATTACGTTGACTTGTCAACAAATCAAAAAAAATAAAAAAAAATAATAATAAATAAAAAAATATAATATTGCATTAATTTACTGTCAACGGCAGTACAATTACATAAATGTAATGTCAACGGCAGTACAATTACGTTAATTAACTATCATTGACAGTATAATTACGCTAAATTACTGTCAGTGACAGCACAATTACGGTCAACGTGTAGCGGCGGGCGTGGAAAAACAAAACAAACCAAACAAAAAAAAAAAACTTAAAAAAACACTAAAGAAAGAGACCGCCGGAAACCGGCGAAAAAATCCGGAAGAAAAGAAAAGAAAAAAAAAAGAAAAAAGAAAAAAAAAAAAAAAAAGTCAACGCCGGAGACCGGCGTTGACCGCCGGTCAACGCCGGAATCCGGAAAAAAAATCCGGAAGAAAAAAAAAAAAAAAAAAAAAAGTTTAAAAAGTCAACGCCGGAATCCGGCGGCAAATAAAAAGTTTTTGAAAAAAAAAATTTTTTGAAAAAAAAAAAAATTTTGGGTCAAAATTTAATAATTTGTGAAATTTGGGGTCAAATTGAGATTAAATTAAGTTAAGGATGAAATTGGAGCATATTAAATTATACTCCAAAAAAAAGTCAAAATTGAATTTTTGTGGTCAAAATTGAACTTTTATGGACAAAATTGATTAATTTGGATTACAATTAAGAATTGGGTATAAATGATTGAGGGTAATATTGGGATATACATGAATGTTTCCTTTAGTTATAATAAATATTAAAGGGATGGGCTTATTGGTGAAAGAGATATGTCCCCTATACCTAGAATAATAAACATGCTTGGTTGGGGACTTTTGCATAAAAATCCCTATTTTTTTCTTCATTTTATTGGATATTTTGATGTGTTGTTTAATTTTTTTTTTCCAATTACATGTTCTAAAATTGATTTACTTGTTCATTTTTATGCAATTTTTTGTTTTTATAATGTACATAAAATAGTTTTGAGATATGAACAAATGATGCTTGCTATTTGTTAGGAATCATTTTTTATGGCAATGACAATCATTTTATTACCTAATAGGTGATTTTGTATGTGGGTATATGTGGGTATCAACGGTAAATAAAATGATAGATATATTTTATTTATAATTTTGAAGTACATTCCGATTGAATGCATTAATAAAGAAGCCACATTTTAAAATATATTCCTTTTATTACATGGGGAGCATGATTATTTGTACCAATGGTTAATTTTGGTACAAATTTGAAAATATTACCAATACCTCCATATGATTGTCTTTCTGATCTTTTAATTCAATTGGTTGAATTTTATTTTCTTAATTAATTACATATTCTATTTGGCTACTCAAATGTGAAAACATGGGTCGCATCCCAATACAGTTAAACCTCTATAAATTAATACAGTTGGGACCATCAAGATTTCATTAATTTAGCGAAATATAACTTATCGATAAATTAATAATTATTAATTTATACATTAATTAATAATTTATTAATTTATGAAATTACTTTTATTATTATTTTCAATAAAAATATTTTTTTTAATTTTTTACATATATATTATTCATTGTACAATTCGTTCAATGCATTATAGAGCCCGTTTCACGAATGGAGGCTCTTAAAACAGTAATGATATAGAACGATTTATGTTGAGTTATGAGAAAACTATACCGAAAGTTCTAACCATGTTAAGAAAAGTGAGCGACGAGATTGATGGTAATGTGAACTTCTACAAGAAACAAGTGAGAATTAAATTATATTTTATTAAGCCTTCATAGATCTATAAAATATGCACTGTACCATGTAATTTAAGAATTTGTTTTAGGGCTTCTTAAAATTTCCGAATGTGTATTATCTTATAAATTTAGCGAATTATTAATTTAGCGCGTTGTCCCCGAGTCGGGACCGGGAAAATTTATTATTTAAGCGAGGTTATTAATTTATCGGGTATTAATTTATCGAGGTTCTACTGTAGTTTTATGTTCCACTAATAAATTATTATTATTATTATACTCTCGTCCATATTTTCAAGCATTACATTTGAACTATGTTTATTCATTACTTGAATTCTTCCAACATTAGTATAATCCAAAAACCACTAAATAATTTACTCATGTGTCAAATAAGTTAAATAATATATTTTCTTGAGTCTTACCCGAATAATTTCTTTGAGTATGCCGAATACTAAACTTCATTGGGTCATGTTTTAGGCATAAACAAAACTCATAATTAAGTTACCGAAGAGTTATCTATCAGTCCCATATTTCGGATATGAGGACTCATTTTGATAATTAATTTCGATCAAATAATTAATACCTCTACCCTGGACATCGGATTTCACTTGTCTCAATAAAAAAGTCTCTCTAATTGTGACATTAAAAAAGATTGAATACACTAATTAAATGTGTATGTTAAATATCTACGGATTAAGAGAGTAAATAATTTGTCACTAGCAATAAATTATATAGTTGATATTCAAATAGTGATGAATAATTTACTTTGTCTGGTTCAATAGATGTTGAATGGTTTAGTAGAGTAAATTAAAACAATAACTCTCTAGTTATTCTCTATATATTTTCTATAATCAAGACATGATTTCTTAAATAGTGTTGTACAATCTTTATCGGCTGTAAGTCAAACTCCATGTAAATTGTGAACCATCTCAAATATTGTTAATAATCGAACAATTCAATTCAATAATTTAAATTCATTAAACACTCATTTGCACATTCTCATAAACAATTGAATTTATAAACTTTATTAATATAAAATCGTTTGCATAAATATAAGCGAGACTTTTAATTTACTATCTTTACAATTTGAAATCTTCTATTTTCCATACAAATTATAAGAAAACTTTGATAGAAACTATGTCTACATTTGAATATGCATTTATCTTAACATATTTATTACAAAATTTTATATCCACTATTTACATTCTTATTATGTATAGTAACGCATCTATTTTAAATACTGTTTTGGTTGCACTATGCCCCAAAAGCTATTTTTTGGTGGGCATCGTGCAACAAAAATAACCTTTTAAACGACAGTGTTTATGTGTAGTCAATGCCTTCTATCACTAGCTGTCAGTGGTGGCGAGTCGTTGGAGCTACATTACTTGACTTGATTTAGTTGCCTAGTACGTGTGCACTTGATTTTCAATTTTTTTTTTATCTTTCTATAATTTATGAGGTGCACTTACGTCAAATGAAAAGGAATGAGTGCTCATGATATATACTTATATAGTAAAACTTAGACTTGACGATCTAACTGAAATTACCTAAATTTTGAAAGGTAAGACATATCCAATTGAACTATGGTAATAATCTATGTATCTCGAACAGTAAAAAAAACTAGGAAATAAAACTGCATTTAAACAAAAACTATGCATGCCCTTAATATCCACTCGTTTAAACAAACTTGAGATAATGAGTTCATTTCGAACATTGCATATTGCTAATCTTGCTTTTGTAAATACAATTATTGAATGATCTCAACTATTTTGTTTTTCTACATGAAGAAGAAATGGACAGATACGGAGGACTAAACTTAAAATCTTTTGAGCTGTCACCAATGTCACCTGGCATTCGGCATGGGTCTTCTAATGATGAGATGATACAACATCTGTGCAGGTTCTTTTATTTATTTAACTGTTTAATTATGTCTATTAATAAGAGGTCATTAAATAAATATTCTAGTAATGGCAAGTACAAATGATGACTTAAATGTTGATATAGGATAGTGTTGCATAATTTTGACTTTTATATTTTTTTTTTTTTTTGTTTGTTTAACGAACGACATAATTATATTCATCAATATACTATGATTACATATTTATAAAAAAAAAAAAAAAAAAATTTGATTTGCAGTGGTACAGAAGAACTACAATATGATAATAAAGATATTCAGATTGATGTGGTCTCAATCAACAATCGTATTTTGGTTGAATATTTAAAAGATGTTATTAATCCATATTGGAAACAGGATAAGATCGCAAGATATGTTTACAAGATGATACTGAAAAAATCGGCGGATCAGGTCATCAAAAGTTTCGGACAGAAGAATTTCCCTACGGGGAGGAAAATCGACTTGTACATAAAAGCTTCACATTCTAAGCTCGCTAAACTCATTCAGGTTCGTAACCATTTTTCAATTTTACGTATTCAATATTCTAAATGTAAGTTAATTAACTTAAATATAAGAACATTTCTTTGCAGATGTATGTGCGAGTATACGGGAGGAACTAGTAAAAGTTCACAAAAGCACTAGAAAAACAGTGGATTTTAAAATTACATATTACTATCACTACTTAATTTAATGAAATTTATCTCAAACATGCTTTTGTAAACCCCATTTTCCAGTTCGCTTGATTTTTTAGATATATTTCACAATTTGTCTTTTTTCTTTCTTTTTTGCCAAAAATAAATTTATTGATAAATGGGGGTCTCGTTGAATCCTTGTTAGGCCTAGCAATGAAAGAGGACCCGTAGGTATTTACATAAGCCTTACAATTTCTTCGATAAATATACAATTTCTAAATAGTCCATCCGAATGACATGAACATTTTTTTCTTCTAACACTAGGCCAAAACAGCTCACTTGCGACGTTTTTTTTTGCGACGATTCCGGAATCGTCGCGAGTTTGCGACGATTTTGACTAAAACACGTCGCAAGATATCGGAAAATAAGATTTCGATGGAATATCTCGCGACGATAACAGTAATCGTCGCAACTATGCGACTAATGTCATTAAAACGTCGCAAACGAAAAAAAAAATAATAAAGCACTCTCGTAGCGACGTTTTTATATAAACGACGCATGAAAAATATTTTTTGCAATTTATTTTTTTACCTTCGCGACGAATATGACGTAGGGGTGTAAACGAGCCGAGCTCGCCTCTTTTGGCTGGCTCGAGCTCGAGCTCGAGTTTATTTTGTCGAGCTCGAGCTCGAGCTCGAGCTCGAGCCCATTGTCTTTTTTTTTTTTTTTTTAAATATTTTTTTAATTATTATTTTATTATTAAAAATTATTTAAAAAAATAAAAAATTAAAACTAAATTGTAATTATATATATTTTTAATATTTGTATTTATTTCTATAATAGTTTACATTATTATACATTATTTAAATAAAAATAACATATAAAAAATAAAAATAAAAATAATAAAATAATAATAAATCCGGCTCGCGAGCCGGCTCGCGAGCTCATGAACAACTAAAAACCGGCTCGAGCTCGGCTCGTCAGAAAGCTCGAGCTCGCGAGCTCGAGCTTGAGCTCGAAAATCGCGAGTCCGAGTTCGAGCTTTTTACGAGCCGGCTCTTCGAGCTCACGAGTCGGCTCGGCTCGTTTACACCCCTAATATGACGTATACGTCGCTAGTGCAATTGTGAAAAAAAAAACATTTTATTGGGTTGGCGACGAATTTGGATAAACGTAGCGTAATAAAGAGGAAATATTAAATAATATTTATTCTTAGCGACGAAAAGAGTTTATTCGTCGCAAGTAAAATATTTTGTTAAAAAAATTATAATTATTATTTGCGACTATATATAGTGTATTAATCGTCGCCAAAATAATTATTGAAAAAATCCCACTTTTCTATAGCGACGTTTCCTATAGAAACGTCGCAGGTCTATTTAATTTTTTTTTTTTTTGGTTTGCGACGAAAGAGTTTAAAAACGTCGCTACGAGATTCGTTTAAATCTGACGTTGCGACGATTTGTTAGGAATCGTCGCAAACAATTTAATTAGAAGGCAGGCCCTAATCCCATTTTCCCCATTTTCTCCAATTTTCTTCTCGTTTCTCTCTCTCTTTCAATCTCTTCCCCTCCGCCGGCGCCCCCCCTCCGCCGGGGCCTCCCCCTCCGCCTCCGCCGCTGCCGCTGCTCTCCGCCGTCCGCCGCTGCGCTCCTCCGCCCATCTCTCCGCCGCTGCTCTCCACCGTCAGCCCATCTCTCCGCCGCTGCTCTCCGCCGTTTGCCCATCTCTCCGCCGTCCGCCGCTGCTCTCCGCCGTCAATAGCTAGCCCTAATTTCCTCCTCTCTACCTAGCCCTCGATCAACAACCACAAAAAGGTAACTTTCTTGCCCTAATTTTTTTGTATTTAGTTGGTGGGATTATGGTCTTTTGATTGTAATTTTGTTACTGTTATTGAATTATACATATATATGTGCAAATTGGAATGCATGAAAAATCTGGATTGTGAAAGGATTTTGGAATCTTGTTATTTATTTATAAATATATGGCCATGAAATTGGAAAACTAAACTCAAATTATGTTACAAAAATAATTGAAATTTCATACTAGTACCAAAATTATGTTGAAAATTGGAATTTTTGTAATTTCATGATGAAATTACTTTTGAAATGTCACGTGTGTAGAAGTAGAATTGGTATTTTTGGAGAAATATTCTCTAATATAAAAAAGATTCCGTGAAAAAATCACATTGAAATGAGGTCGATGTAAGACGGAAACAAACGTCAAGGAGATTTTTATAATTATGGATAAGTTAGGGGTGTTTTTCATGATTTAGCTTAAGTTAAAGGGGATTTCAAATCCATCGGGCTACTATTTAAAATTATTACGTAGATATGTGCAAACTCTTGATTTACACTTCGTATATGTTCAACTTTAATTTAGTTTTAGTTTTTCTATATAATCTTCACTTAATAGATTTTTTTTTTTTAATTTAAAGCCCTCATTATTTCTAGGTATACTTGCTAAGTAAAGAATGCCAAAAGATAGGAGTTGGGTCTTGTTAGATGATCGTTGTTTGGAAATATTTCAAAAGAGTTGTGTGGAATTTATGGATTTTACTTTTGCTAACTGTGACGATGATAGTAAAATAAGATGTCCATGTAGAGATTGTAAGTGTCGTAAGTGGGGGGATCATGAATTTGTGCATAAGCACTTACTTTGGAGGGGTTGGGATAAACTTTATGGGCAACGTCGATGGACTTTGCATCAAGAGTCTGAAGAAGATTACAATGGCGATGAAACGAACAATACTAATGTTGTAGAAGTTCCTGAAGTTGCAGTTGTAAATGAATATGACGGTATTTGCGTTGATGTTGGTCATAACATGGATGATTTATTGCATGCATGTTTTAATCAAGGTCAACAAGATCCGCTTGAAGAACCCACCCCAGATGCCGATGATTTCCGTAAACTCATTGAAGAGTGGTGCATCCCCGTTTATGATTGATGTCGTGTATATACTAAACTTTCATTTATCATGGAGTTTTACAAAATTAAATCTCGGGGCAAGATGAGTGATAATACATTTACTGAGACACTTCAGTTAATGAGGAAGCTTAATTTTTTAAATATACCTGAAACTATTTATGAAGTTAAGAAGCTCATCGGTAAATTGGGGTGTGGTTATGTCAAAATTGATGCATGTGAAAATGACTGCATGTTGTTTTGGAAGGATGATTTGAACTTAAATGCATGCAAAGTGTGTAATGCTTCAAGATGGAAGAATCCCGTAGAAAACCAACCGAGTTCTTCAAGCGCTCAACACAAAAGGGTACCAAAAAAAGTTTTACGACACTTCCCATTGATTCCGCGTCTTAAGCGGCTATTTGTATGTGAAAAATCAGCCGTTAACATGAGATGGCACGCTGAGTCTCGGTGTAACGAAGGGGTTCTTAGGCACCCAGCTGATTCTGATGCATGGAAAGTGTTTGACAAGAAGCACGAGTCATTCTCTTTGGACCCTCGTAATGTAAGGCTTGGGTTGGCTACAGCGGTTTTAATCCATTTAGATCGTTCAGTAGCAAGCATAGCACATGGCCGGTAATTCTAATGATTTATAATTTACCACCAAATATGTGCATGCAACATTCTCATATGATGATGTCATTGCTTATTTCTGGTCCTAAAGGCCCGAAAAATGGGATTGATGTTTATTTACAACCCCTGATCGATGAGCTTAATGAGTTGTGGGTCTCTGGGATAACAACTTTTGATTCGTCCACCAGACATTACTTTAATTTGCGAGCGGCACTTTTGTGGACTATCAATGACTTCCCAGCACTTGGTAACTTCCCGGCATTTTGGCCTAGTATAACTCCTGAATCCTATCAAAACGTGTTCTTTGTTTGTATCTTTGAATTGAGCAGGCTAGAATATCAGTAGCATGATTTTATTCCCTATAAACATGTTTATGTGTCCTTTTTTTCTCATTATTTGTCTGCATCTCCAGATTGTATATGCCCCCTCCCATGCAATCTCAATACCCCATTGAATCATGTTCATAATGGGCAGAGAGTCCATCTCGATTATCTCACAAGCCACATCCATAGATGTCCGCATATTCATTCCTTCTAAAACTGACATATCTTCGGCCATCAGATTCAAGCCAATCCCATAAAATATGGAATATGTTGTTGTAGCAACAAATTGATCTTATCTGCGATTTAAATAAACAAGAAATACGTGCGCAAAGATAATTTATTAAATTAAAATAAATATTGCTGGTTACAAATTTTAATTCAGTCCTCTAGTTCTTCTCTCAAGAACAATATGCGTTTGACTTTGAATTTCGGAGTCGGTCGTTGACTTGATCTTCTCCGAATTTGATTTTGAATTTGAATAATGTCTTCCGAGGGTCTTGTGACTTGAATCTCGGATCGAATACTGAACTTTGACGAGTTTTGACTTGAAGATCTTGGACTTCTTGATGGATTTGGCCCTTCAATCTTCCTTCGATTTAGATTTATTGAAAAACGTCCTCGATTTGACGAAGAACACTTGAGATGTTGTAGAGATAATTTTTTCCTACGATTTTTCTCCTTCTTGAGTTGTGTTTATGAACTGTGTAGGTAGAGTCCCTACTTATAGTGGTAGAATAAGAGATATTGATAACCTTGTTTGATGATGTGGCACGATTTGATTGGATCTCTTTAAATTGATAATTATTTCTTATAACTTGGAAGGGAAAAAAAATCCCTTTGGCTAAAGATTAGTTGATATTTATCTTCATGACTTAAATTTGCAAGACAAATTATAATCTTGGAATTCAATTTTAATGTAATATAAATTATACTAAAATTTATGCATCTACAGCTGGTATGAAAACTCCTCTTGTATATCTCAAAATTTATCCCACAATTTGTGCTTGAACAAAAATTAAGATCTTAAATGCCAACAGTACAGAGACGGTTAGCAAACAAGAGAAAAAATTCCAGAGAGAAAAAATGGCAACCACAATTGTTATGCTGTGTAAAATGATTCATCGTTCTATT